GTATGTGCTGTCCTTTCTATGTCGTCGCAGCGTCATTGCTATAGCTCTCGTTGCTCGTGAGAGGCTTTTTACGCGTGTGTCATGAAAGGTTGAAGCCACCTCGCACCTCCGGTGTGCAATGCAGGGTCGTTTTAATGTGCTAATTCATTGAAAATGACATTATCTCTCCTACAGCTGGGTGTACCGCCACCGATTGGTCAATTTGCTGCAATTGACGTCATGCCGCCATACGTGGCAGTCGCAGAAGACGGCTCGACGTGTGGCCTGCATCACCGCGAGGTCGAAACGCAGTCGCGGTGATGGAGGTACTTGACCTTACGATCGATCGAACGTTTCGGCCTACGTACCCTTCCAATTGCGATGCCTGCTACTACTGCGAGTCGAGGGCAAAGTAGAATTGAATTGAGTTTTGACCCTCCTGAATGCAATAGAAATCGGGTCTTGGCTACGCGTTAGCCATGGTCTCGTTTTCATCGTCGTCGATCTCGTCGACCGACATGTTGAGCGCTCGGTCTGCAAGCGCGTCGTCATCTTCGGTCGGTGGCGGCGACGGGCGGCGCTCGGTCTGCGGCGGCGTCATCGCATCGAAAACGAGGCGCGTCGATGCGAACGACGAGGGCGACGATGGGCTCACGTACGGCGGATACGGAGGTGTGCTCAGGTCGAACGGCGGGCTCTCAAGCACGAACGGCGACGAGTGGGCCGGCGACGGGTAAGAACGCATGAGCAGCGGGGATGCGAAGCGTCGCTCGAGCGCCAGACGCGCGTCCGGCGACATGCTGTTAAACTGCGTGACCATAAAGGCGCCAGGCGTCAAGGAAGCCGACGACGCATGCTGCTCAACGTCCGGACCGGGCGCGGGCGGCGGCGTACGGCGGGCCGGAAGCGGACGCACAGCTCCGAGGAGCGCTGCGCGTGGCCGATAGCCCGGGCGGACTGGTGTCGGCGGCAACGACGACGGCAGCGACACGCGGCGCTGCGGTTGCATGATGGCAGCGGGCGACTGCAACGACGACGGCAACGAGGTTCGGCGCTGCGAGTTGATACGATGGCTCGGCGCAAAAGCGGCTGATGGTGCTGGCGCCGCTGCCTCCAACGAGGCGACGCGCTCGCGGAGCCAATCGCGCTCTCGGGCAAGCTCAAAAGCGCGAGCTTCGACGTCTTGGACACGGCTAAGGATTGCCATGTTGTCTTGGAGTGCGGCGTCGAGCATGACCCGGAGCGTGGTATCGTCCACGCACTCCATTGCCGGAGAAGCCAGTGCCTTCAACACCATCTCAGTCGCTGGGGAGCACGGCTGTTTCAAAATGCTGTCGATGCTAGGGGGAGCCGGCGGCCCACTGAGCATGGCCGCGAACGGGGCGAGCGGCAACCCCCCGCGAGACGGACGGCGAAGTCGACTGGCGGACGCACGACGTCGTAGCGCAGGCTTCCATACGTAGCAATCGCGCGCGTGAGCAGACGGTGCAAATGCTCGACCCCGTTGGGCCACGATGCGAGTGCGTCGAAAATCACCTGCCAGAACTCGCCGCCACAGAGGACCTCTCGGTCCTTGCACACTTGGCCCTCCGTGATCACCACCGTGTGGGTGCTCACAATGATGCTGGTTTCAAACGAGACGGGCGACGCAAAGGACACCCAGACGACCCGGAAGGCCGCCGCCGCGGGGATGGCCACGCCAACGCGCACCTTGCGGTCTTCAGAGACCATGACGAGGTAGTCTCCATGGCGCTCGAGATGGACCGGGAAGCTCACGGTGTCGTGGATGACGCGCCACGCCGCCTGCGTCGCGAGGAGCGCCGCCGTAGCGTTGGTGGATGCAGCGTACGTTACAAGCGCCTCGTCAAGAACTTCGTCGTTGTGCAACGCAAGGAAAAGCAGCAGCCCGATCGTCTCCGAGTTCCGATTTTCAAAGTTGATGCCGACGACCCGGCCGAGCGCGGCCATCGAGAGCTGGGCGAGGTCTCGGCCCTTGACCGTCTTGACACCGACAAGACCTGCGAGCACCATGGAGCAAATCCGAGAATGAGAGCGTCGGCGTGGTGGTTTCAGTAGCTGGCGCAGAAAGGCCAGGCTACTCCACACTGGATGCATGCTATCGACAGAGGCGTTGCGACCGCAACTTGAAGCGACTGCAACGAGTACTGTACGGCTGGAAGGACACTTCCTCGCTCGCCACAATCGTCATGGTCTCCTCCCACACCATACGCATGCGTGCCAGAGGCGACGACGACCCTGAGCGAGGTAGACGATCGCAATGGCCCATGGGCTCGGTCCGTGTGGGGCTTGGTCGTCTCTTCCTCGCATCCAAGTGGCCGTCTGCCTCGACGATAGGAAGAACCGGCGGCGCTGGAAGGCAAGCACATCGCCCGTCGCTCGCGCAGTCGCTTGGTCGCATCCACGTGCCACGAACATAACTGGTACTAGTACTAGTAACCGATAGCGTAACCGCGGTAACCGATAGCGTAACCGGTTAATCACGTTATCCGGATTCGTCGATTGCGGCGACGGCCTTTCCATCCGACTCCAGGTCGTGATCGTGCGCCGTGACGGCGTCATGCCTGGCAGTAGCTTGCCGCAGGTCCCGCCGTCGCTGCTCTGACGAGCGTCGTCTCTGGCTCGAGCCGGGTGGGACATGCCTGGCTTGCTCGTCCTTGGTTCCATGGTTCGATCGTTGCGTGGGCAGCGCCGCGTCCTCGCACGCGTTGGTCGCTGCCGCGCTCGAACCTGACTTGCCCAGCGGAGAGAGGCCTTCGTGTTCGTGGAGCGCCGCGCTACCATGGCTTGTCGCTTCATTGTCGGGCCTCACCGCCTTCCATGCCTGGTGGGCCCAAGCTTGGTCTCGTTGCTCGCAATCACGGCCTCAATCCGCATCAACTGGTGCATCTTGTTTCCGTCCCGGCCCGCTGCACCGCAGCAACGGTGTCAATTGTCAGGATGGATTGTGGACCACCCGTAGTCGCTTTCTTGCCCTTGCACCGCGTCGCTGCTGAGCTTGGCCATGGTCTTTGCGATAAGGGCATTGGTATAAGAGACAAGCGCGATGATGATTCCTCACACCTTCTACAGCCTTTACGACGAGGCGCATTCGCCCCATGCACATCAAATCGCGTCCGCCAGACGTCTGCTGTTCGATCGGCGCGACCTCACGAGCGACATCCCAGACAACGAGCGCCCGAGATACTGGGTCGAAGAAGCGACCGAGCGCAGTTCGTGGCTCTGTCGATTTGTTGGTCCGATCCATCATATCAGATCATTTGGCATTCTGCAGCAACACATACTTCGCACTGACTCACGACACTGTCTTGGTGGGATGGGATCGCACCGCGCTCTTCCCGCCATGCGTTCAAATCAACGCGCGCCGTTGCATGTCCCACGTCCGGTCCACGCCTTTATTGTCAATATCTCCCATCGTGTTGTCCAACCTGTCCTTTCCAGTCTACATGAGGTACTCCAGTCGCCAGAGCCGCCAGAGCCTGCTCAGCTACCGCGTCGACAACATAGAGGTACACACCATTACGACCGAGCGTCGCGCCTTCGTCCATCTTGCGCTGGAGGTCGTCCGAGGGCTTGGCCGACAAGAGCTTGTTCCACTGCGACATCTTGTCGCGACGGTCCTCTTTCGCGATCGCCCGCGACTGCGCCTCGACCTGGAGGTACTCGGCTTGCTTCTTCATGCGCTCGATCGACGCGGTGATGTCGCCCATGCGACTCTTCATCGCCACCACTTTTTGAAAGTAGATGGGCACCTGCGACATGGTCTGCTCGACACCCGCGATCTTGGCGTTGCGCATGATCTTGCCGTTGCGCTCCGAGACGACATTCAGCAAGTGCTAATACAGGACCATCGTCATGAGCCAAGTCGTAGAACGCTGGCAGGCGACCTCTTGGCTTTCGACGAGCTCGCGGATCTGCTCGAGCGTGCCGTCCAAAACGCTCTGGAGCTTGCTCGCCGCCGCCAAGCTCATCTAGCAGCGCGCATGAGCCATCATCCAACGCGCATTGATTCATAGGTGGCGGTACCTTGTTCATGCCGTCGACCTCGGTAAAAGGGCTGGTCAAAGCTTGTCGCCAGACATCGTGCTCGTCCGGCACAGGTTGCAGTGGCGAGGCCAGCGGTGTGGCTTGGGCCGAGGCCGGAATCTCGATCGGGGACGGCGCTGGCTGGGTCAGCGTGATTGGAACCTCGGTGGGCGCGTCGTCGTCGGTGGCGATAGTCGGGGCGGCCACGGTCGCGGGCGACGCAGGAGGTACCGGCGCCTTCTCTAGGACGGGCGCTCTCGGCGCGATCGTCGGTACCCACATGGGCTCATCTAGCATGCTACATGGAGCCTCATGAGCATGTAGCGCGCGTCTACCTTCTTCCTCTTCCTCGGACTCGCTGTCTTCGCCCGAGAAGATCTTGCCTGCCTTCGCTGCCATAGTCGCTGCTGCTTTGCGTGATGTCCAGTGATTGGCTACGTCAGGCGGCTTATTGCGCGCATTTTAGCCAATCCAGAGGGACACCATCGTACACGTGGATTGGCTCAAATACAGTGGTGCACGCGACACGGATTGGTTGAAAAACCATGCTAGGCAGCCAATGGCATCGGAGATTGGAGATTCACTGTGGCGCGGCGACAACAACCCGGTTGAAGTCGACGGCTTCTCGGAGCGAGGGACCAGATTCCTTAGCATACAAGAATACACAGAGCCGCCTCGGACAAAGTACGCGAAGAGGAAAAGTATGTGCGATACGTGGCAGCACCCGGACCAAGCAACGAGCAAGCAGATTCCGTAGCCATCGGTTCCTTCGCCCAGAGCAGTGCCCAGTGCGACCAGACAAATTTCAGCGCGTGGGACAGAAACGGCGCCAACTCAGCTGCGGCTTCGGACCACCGCTCGTGAACATCATGGCGCACGAAGATTCAGCCGCACTTCAACTTCGCGGTCGTCAGCACGTTTGCAATGGCGACATCGCGGCCATGCAGCACCCAATCCACGACGTGTACATAGAAACCCAGCGAAAAGATCGCGGGTGCCATCTCAAGGATCGCGGGTGCCATCTCAAGAAAGGACTAACTGCGCAACGCATTCCTTGCGATCGAGAACCTGGTTCTATTTCGAATGCTCGGTCAACGCCGCCACGTCGGACATACGCACTGCAGCGTGGTCGTGGTGCGGCATGCAGAAGAGTCCCTCGTGCGTTCGGATGGGGGAAGGGTGGCAGGTACCTGTAGGCCGGTGCGTCACGCGCCGTCGCGATCGAATCTGCTTGCACATCACCTCGCGTGCCGGGAGTTGAACCCGCGATGATGGATTTCCTCCCAGTAGCCGTTCGCACGAGATGCGACGAAACCCCTCCCAACGACGCATCACCCAAGACCCGACAACCATGCTCTCTTCTGCGTGGCGCATGATGAATAGCCGCCCATTATTGTGGTGGTCGCAGCCACATACAGTCTAAAGACCAGACCTGGCGCAAGATCCCACGACAGCTTCCCGCCGCCTGTCTGAAGTTGAAGTCGGCGTCTCGGCGTCTGATTGGCGCACCATGTAACCATTGCACCAATCACCACGCGTGATGTCGCAGGTTGTCCGGTTCCATCGCCATTATCCGGTTTTCCATGGTTTTCACCCGGATGTTGAAGGTCGTATCCGGAAGGTCATCACGCCCAGGCGCAGATTCCGCGTATACATTGACGTTAGAGGCTTGAATCTGGCACCACAGAATGGCCCAAGCAGTGACCGGCCCGCCATCTCGGTCACTTTTGGATTCGATGGCCCCGCCCGCCCCGCAAGTCGCCATCACGGTACAGTCGCCGCCGAGCGTGTACGCCTTGCCGCCGAGCAAGGAGGCCTCGCCGCTCCTCGAGCGCGCCGACTCGCTCACCGAGACCATCAACCGCCGCGTGCTCGTTTCGGCGGTTGCCAACTTTAGCACTGCTGTACGTCTACCATCCATGTTGCTCAATGACATAGCTCACGATGGATTAGTACAACCTCGCCATCATTGGCAGCGCGGTGCTCCTGGTCAAGGAGACCACGCCCGACAGCGACGTCTCGGCGATCCCGGCCGTCTCTGCGTGCTCGCTCATCGGTGCGATCGTCGGCCAGCTCCTCTTTGGCTACATTGGTGACGCCCTTGGCCGCCGCAAGGGCATGATCCTGACCTTGACGCTGACTGTCATTGGCGCCATCATGAGCGCCATCCTGCCGTACGATGGCTCCGTTTACACGATCCTCGCAGCCTGTCGCTTCCTCCTCGGCATCGGCGTTGGCGGCGTCTACCCGCTCTCGGCCGCGTCGGCTGCCGAAGGCAGCTCGGACCCGGTCCTCAACAACAAACGCGTCGCCGCAGTCTTTTCGTTCCAAGGCTGGGGCCAGCTCGCGTCGTTCCTCATGACGTACCTCTTGCTGCAGACGGCGCTCGACCATGCGATCGTGTGGCGCGTGCTTCTCGGCGCGGGTGCCATTCCCGGCCTCGTCGTCTTGCACGAGGCGATTGTCTCGAAGGAGACGGGCGCGTACTTGCGCAACCAAGCCAACCCGCACAAGATGAGCGTCTGGACCGCGCTCAAGACGTACGAGCGCCAGTTCATTGGCACGGCCGTCGGCTGGTTCCTCTTCGACATTACGTTCTATGGCAACATCATCTTCACGCCCGTGATCCTCGAAGGCTTGTACGCGGAAGAGGCGTCGACGATGGTGCAGACGATCCAGTTCTCCGTGCTCACGTCGGCGATCGCGCTGCCGGGCTACTACCTCAGCCTCTACATGATCGGCCGCATGGACTTCAAGCACATCCAAATGCAAGGCTTTGCCGTCATGGCCGTCATCTTCCTCATATGGGCCTCTTCTACCACGCACTCCTCCCGCTCAAGTCGCTCCTCTTCGTCATGTATGCGCTCACGTTCTTCTTCTCCAACTTTGGCCCGAACGTCAGCACGTTCTCGCTGCCTGCCGAGCTCTTCCCGACCGAAGTCCGCGTCCAGCTCAACGGTATGTCGGCCGCCGCGGGCAAGCTCGGCGCTGCCGTCGGTGCGTACCTCTACGGGCACATCCAAGCGGCGTACGGTGTGCCTGCGGTGCTCATGGTGTCTGGCTTCGTGTCGGTTCTTGGCTTCGCCATCACTTACGTCTGCATCCCGTGCAAGCAGTACCGATGAGCCCATGTCGGGATGTTTTATATATATCTCTATGGTTCTCCAAGAAGAGCTTTGCTATCGACGGTACTACAGAGGAGTGGCTACGAAAGCCCAGAGCGTCAATGGTAGACAAGGTAGAGCGACAGTAGCTTTGAGAGTGGATAGCAGCGGGGATCGACCAAGACTACGGTGACGCCACTTGGCGAAAAGATGCTAGGTACATGCGCGCGACAAGTTCAAGTGTCGTAAGCAAACTAGTAGCAACGGTATAGCACCCACGAGAGTCGTGCTTGATACCTGGTATTCAATAGTACGCGATAGAGCTTCGGTAGTTTGCCGAGCTGCAGCGACGCGATGGCAACGACTGGTTGTTGTTGAATTGGGTCCTCTATTACAATAGATAAAACTATGCTAAATAAAATTGTCGGACTTTCTTCGTTGTGTGTACTCGGTTGAGGGACTTGATTTTAGGCAGGCGGAGGCAGGAGCGCAATCCGCGGGACGAGGTGACGTCGCGGCCACTCGTGTTGGGCGAGGAGCCGGAGAAGCCGACGAAGAGCAGGCTGTTCGGGCTCTTGTACGAGGCTGTGGTGCAAGTGCAGTTGAGCGACGCGTGCCGCCTTGACATGGCAACGACTGGTACCGCTATGACGTGGCTGGCTGTAGTCGATGCAACCTCTATGTCATTGGCGCAATTGGTCCAATGATCGCACGAGAAAACGGCAATTTCTAGATCTTTTCAGCCAATCAGCGCCACACGATTGTCTGGCGATGGAAACGAGCGAGCCGCAACGTCCGGCCGACGATGGCCCGCGCAAGGCGACGGGGTCGCGGCTGACGGCGGCGCAGGTCGAGTACCTCGTGAGTCAGCGTGACGAGCATGGCATCACGTACCGCGCCGAGCACAAGGAGGCGCGCGAGGCCATCGCCAAGCACCTGAACCTCGACGTGGCGCAGATGCATGTACGCACATGATCGCCATCGGCTCGACAGGTCATATGCGCTCTAGGTCTGGTTCAAGAACCACCGGGTGCGCGACCCGGCGCTCAAGGTCGAAGCGCAACCAGCAAGCGCCAAGATCAAGAAGCGCCGCCGCAGCACGGCCGACCCAGCCGCCGCCGAGCACGACGCCGCCGAGCCAAAGCGCAGCCTGGCGGATCGCCCACCGTTGCGCCTCAGCGAGCCCATCCTTCGCCCGCCGTCGAGCTTTCCGGAGCCATCGGCCGAGCCGGCGCGTACCATCCTCCACGAGGATACCGCCGCCTTGGGTGAGGACGAGAGGACGCGCTGGCCCTTGCCGCCCACAAGCGCATTCTCACGGACCTCGACACGCTGCGTACGTGCTGTCTACGGCACCGTAACCTCTGACGCAGTTTGCGTAGATGCGCTCGGCTTTAGCTCGATGCTGGCGCTGCACAACGAGGCGATCGACATTGGCAGCTACGACGTCCGCGGGCCGCTCGCCGTGCAAGCCACCGAGTACCTCTTGCAGCAAAAAAGATCGACATGTACAAGTTCCTCAAAGACTTGACGGCCGCCAACAAGCTGTACCCTGAGCTCCGCGAGGCGAACCCGCCAAACACCGCTGGCTCGCCGCAGTAGACCGCTCCGTAGCTCTCACTGTAGATATAATCCCGCGCAACAAGGATGTGTTCATCCCATTGCGACATTCCGTCGTCGCGATTGAAGCAGGCTCCTCGCGGAAGCGTGGCGGAAGGTTCATGACACCAGCCGGTGTAGCTCATGGAGCAGCCGTTGTCGGCTCGTAATGGCTGAAAGAACCGACATACGCTGGCCGAACGCGATGCGCGCCTTCTTCTAGGGACACGCAATGCAGAGGCGCGACTGGACGAGGCTCTGACGCGCCAACGTTGGCACGTCGCTGCAAAATTTTAAAGTCTCAGATTTGGGGCGTGTGCGGGACGAGCTTTTCTTCTCTGGGTTGGACTTTCCAGCCACGACCGAGCGCAAATCTGCAATTTGGTCGCCTGAAAATCGGTAATCTCCGAGCGAAAATCGGCAATGACCACTCTTCCATTGAAGAAGAATCGCATTGGATCGTTGCTCTTGCCGTTGGAGACAGTGAGGCTTCGTTACAAATGCAAAGTGCTTCCTGCTCGGCTCTCTTTTACGGCTGTGACGTGTCGGTCGCAACAACGAGGGGCTCGGAATAGGGAGTGTGAATTGGGCACTGGGATTTCTCAGCAATATGTCGAACCGTGTAGACCAAAAGCTGTGATTGGAAGATCGTCATGCATCCAGAAAGAAAGATGCAGCGGTATCTTCGAAGGTCAACTTCGAGGTCAGGGTGAAACTCGGGTTTTACCCAGCGAGCAACCGGACTGTAATAATGTGTCAGAATGCGTAAAAAGGTGTCGGAAGTGGACGCTCTCCAATCCAATCACCGAAGCAGTGTAATTTGTGTTTAGCCAGCGGTTTAGAACAGAGTTTGAGTGCACCGTCAACACTGTTAGAGAAAGCCGTCTATTACATATATTTAGTCAGAGACGTAAGCGTGTCATTCGTCCGTCGGGTCCGCTCCCGGGTTCTTTGCTCGTCCGCCGCAATCAGCTCCATCATCGTTGCGAGCGGCTTCATGCAATTTTCGAATTGCTTGGGGTCGCCCTTCGATCTGTGCATGAGTGCGTAAAAAACAGACCAGGTTTCAGGGCCGGACTCCAGAGCTTGGGCAATTCTTGCGTCTTCGGTTTCTTGACGAGCGACTGCTTCGTCGCTGAGCTTGCGTTTGGACGCGATTGATGTGTTGCATTGGCGGCGGGGTTGCGGCGGAGGTAGATCGACACCAAACGAGAGCTTGAGAAGCCCCTGGCGGCTGGACGGGAATATCCAAAACGGGACTCTGTGCGTACGAACCTTGTACTTGGGAGCCGTCAGCTACAAATGCAAAACGAGGATGTCTTGGACGATGGATATATTGTCGTACACAGGCTTCTAGATTGACACTTTCCTTCCATTCCACGCCGTGCACGTCGACGATGTAAGCTTGGACGAGATGCTTGCACATGAGAAACTCGGAGTACGGGTACGACGGGCACGAGCACGTCCAATCCTGCAATGAGGTGGTGTAACTTGGTTGTTTGGTCGAAGAAGCGACATTGTTGGCCGGTTCCTTAGGAGGAGCGACATTGTTGGCCGGTTCCTTAGGAGGAGCGAGAATCTTCGCGCAATGTGCGGCCCATTCTGCGTGGAACCGGTTCTCCCACGCCGCGGGGTCGTCGTAGCCGTACGGGCGTGAGGCACGCTTGAACTTCGCGTCGTACCAACTGTGGACATGGACTGCGATGATGTGCGTGAGGTAGTCGATACGGACTTTGGTAACTTTGGCGAGAAACTTGTCCTTGAAGACGCGAAAGTGCGATTCGGCCATCATGCTAGTCCGCAATGTGGACACACCATGCTCGTACCACGACCGAGCCCACAATCGCCACTTGTTCGGGGCGTACCTACGTTTAAGGATACTTGTAAATAGTCATTAGATATTTCGAAGTATTACCAATTTGTGAAGAGGTACATCCAGACAACGTCGAGTCCGCGTTCACAGCAGAACTCGTACATCTCGTTGAGGCACTGCCTGTAGATGGCATCCGGTGACGAGTCCTTCAAGCTCGGGTCGAGTAGCGCGTGCATCAAATAGTGGCACTTCATCATCGCAACTACTTCGTTGCACAATGTCTTGGCGTCTTGGGGATGTGGCACGAAACTTTTGTGATGCGTGGTCGTGTCGGGAAAGGAGATGACGTGCAGAGGGATGTTGTTCAAGTCGTCGTCGGTGGGGTTGTACGGGTCCGTAGTACCTTTCGAATCTTGAAAGCGACGTCGGATGGCCTGGTCGACATGCCAAAGGCATAATGACATCTTCGATGCGGCCCAGATGAGGTCCACGGCTCCAATCTCGCTGGAACATTTGTCGAGATGGACCCATTCTGGATGGAGGTTGAACTTCTCTCGGATGGACTCGAGCCATGCAGCGATGATGTTGATTTTGAGCTGCGAGACGTTTGTTGTAGGAACGTAGAGGTAGGCAATAGGGTAGCCCTCCCCACGGAACGGAATCATGAGGACGAAGATCTCGTACCGAGGATTCGTGCCATCCTCGGTGCCGACGTGTGTGCCGTTGGTGTTGAAGGTAGAGTCCATGATGACCTCGCGGACGTATGCCATGGAATCGAAACCCGACGTCGTGAGCATTGATTTGATCAGACCTTCCATCACCACTGAGCAACACCGCAGTTGTCGGTTGGACGGAATAAAATCGGACACCAAGAGGCCGCCGGATACGTTGGGGCTGCTGGCGATGTACTCGAGCGTAGATGCGAATGGATCGGCGTCCGACTTGTACAACGCCTGCCGCACGCGACGACATCGATATGCCACCTGGTGCAAACTTGGCGCCTCTGCGCCCATCTCTTGCGTGAGCTTCGTGAAGATCTGCGACGGTGAATTGTCGTGAGCCATCTCCTCGACTCGGCTCACAAGCGCGGGTGGCATCGGGGGAGAGGCGTCGACGCGTCCGATGTGGTACACGTCGTGGCGGTGCTTGATGAAGAGGTCATCATTCGTGAAAACGAACGTCAACTTGCCATTGCAGTCGAACTTCTCACTCGCGTACGAGGCCGTGATCCTTGTCGTTCCATTGACCTTCCTCGGCTTCCTCTTCTTGGCATTTCCAGTGCACCCAAAAGGCTTCTTGCGTTTTCCCACGAGACGTTTCAACGTAGAGGCATACTGCTCTAGGAGCTGTTGAGGTTGCCGAGCAGCGGCCGCCTTTGCCTCGCGTTGCTTCGCAGTGATCTTGCCCTTGCTCCGTGTCTGATCTTGGCTGCAGTAAAAGACGTACTGCGACTTGCGACTCTCGAGGTTGTGCTCTGGTCGTTTGTGTTGGTTGAATCTGTAGAACGTGGACGCGGCGATGTGGGCGCGGCACGCAAGCACAATAGCATCGCGCTGTGCAATCGTTGTGCAGTCGACCATGGGGACGCGTCACGCATGCCAATGCTCGGTGTCCGCTGTGGCCACAGAACGAAGCACGTGGTTGAGGACCGCGATGGCCTTTTCAAGAGCCGCGTTCTCCTCGTCGATGATCTCCTCGTTGGCCTCAGCGACGGCGTCTATGGCTTCGTCGATTTGCTCGTTGGGGGTATCAGAAGGGTCCCCATCGGAAGGAGAGAGGTCGACGTCCACAGCGTTTTCATCCATGTAGCTGGTTCCAGTCGTGACATCAAGGAAAGCTTCCCGCCAATCGTCCAAAGTCGCGCAGTCGGTACCCCGGGATTCGAGTCGCGTGAGGTCCGCACCCGTTCGGCAGTTGGCGCACGTCGCGTTTGGACTTGTCGTGGCTCCCTCCATGAAGGCGATCCACTTCAAGACATGGCTGCAACCTGTACACTTGCTTAGTCCCGTGGACGTTCTTGTAAATTCGTCGAGGTCGTCGTGTACAAAGCCCTCTGCTGGTGGCACCGCGAGGTCGTCGTGTACAAAGCCCTCTGCTGGTGGCACCGCGTCCATTGTACTTCGTCCACACAAAGGCTAGGAGTGACCTTTCAGAGAAGTCCACACAAAGGCTAGGAGTGACCTTTCAGAGAAACCATTCTATTATTATACTCATGTCGTCAACGATTGGGGAAACTACGCCACAGTCTTTTCATGTCGGGCGCGGCTTGATGGACGTCGGGCACGGCTCCATGGACGTCGGTGGACTCGAAGGACGCGGCTCGATGGACGCGGCTTCATGGACGTCGGTGGACTCGAAGGACGCGGCTCGATGGACGCGGCTTCATGGACGTCGGGCGTTTCATGTCGGGCGCGGCCTGATGGACGCGGCTTGTTGGACGTCGGGCGCGGCTTCATGAACGTCGGGCGCGGACGCGGCTCGATGGACAGTTGATGGTGTCAGACCGCGTCGTTGGTTGAAAGGCGGTCGTCAATTTATTGGTTGGTAGGCGCCGGTGACGTCGTTTGTCAAGTCGCTGGCGCTCGGACTTTAAGTAGTGGCATCGCCAAGGCCGAGATGTGAGAGTCCGCCGCTGCAAATCGAGATGTGAGGAAAAACTTTCGCGTTAGAGGATCCCACATGTTTCTCTCGACAGGCCCTGACCACCATTTCATTTTATCCGGATCTCGACGAACTGGACTCTTGGGTTTGCAAGTTTCACCGTGACGCAACAGACAAACGTCGACACCCTTCGAGGTCAAGTTATAGTACTCGACAAACACTCTATCTAGTGCCAGTGATCTAGTGCCCTAAGATATCTTAGCTAAGCCCTGCGTCATTGCTGCAGCCAGTCGCCGCCGCAGCAGCCATCGACTACGACAAGTCGTCGCAGCCAGACGTCGTCACAGCCAGTCGTCGTCGCAGCCAGTCGTCGTCGCAGCCAGTCGTCGTCGCAGCCAGTCGTCGTCGTCGAGGCCAGTCGTCGTCGCAGCCAGTCGTCGTCGAGGCCAGTCGCGTGGCCAATCGTCATCGTGACCAGTCGTCGTCACAGCCAGTCGTCGTCGCAGCCAGTCGTCGTCGCAGCCAGTCGTCGTCGAGGCCAGTCGTCGTGGCCAATCGTCGTCGAGGCCAGTCGTCGTCGCAGCCAGTCGTCGTGGCCAATCGTCGTGGCCAATCGTCGTGGCCAGTCGACGGCAAGTCGTCGCAGCCAGTCGTTTGGTACTCAGGCATGGCACGTCGTCATCACCGTATCGGGCTGCTGTGCGCACGACGTGGCAGAATGTGGAATGATAATTTCGTGTCCATCGACCTGTATTCCGGATGCGCTCGGACCTTCAACCGGAACCGGATCCGGTGGGTTTTTCCTTTTGGATTTGCCCAAGGTGCCATGTGCTCGACCACTTCGTACTTCGCCACAGCTGGCGCACATCTGGCGTTTGCTGAGAAATCCCAGTGCCCAATTCTTGTACCCTGCTCGGAATCGCTCCTGGCCATACGTTGCAAGATCGCAGAAGGTACGATTTCTCCGCCACGGACAGGCGGTCTTGAAGCAGATGTGTCGCGAAGCGTTTGGACCCCTCGTTCCGCAGTACAATCTGGCGCAATCCACACGCATTTACCACGCATTTACAGATTCGACGTGAAAAACACACCCATGGCACAGGATCCTCGCCCGCTAGTCGCGCATGGAGGGATACAATACCACGACGACGCCCGCGTAAGCGGTGTCTGCTGGTCCAATGCAAAGGTCACATTCATGCTGGTGGGAAGGACTGCGAGCTGTAGCATTGTCATCTTATTATTGTCGTTCTTAGTGGGCCTCACAAATCACTCTCTACGAGGTAATGTTATCGTTGGATGACCATGTATTGGGACGACGCGTTCTGCGACGCCAGCAACCGATCGCTGTCCGTGGTGGATCGTGTCCATGGTGCGACCCACTCTCGGTGCCGCCGAGCGCGACGGCTTTGTACCTGCTTCTTGCGCCTCGCATCGTGCTCTGTCGAGAACGCGGATGGCCTGGCGTCGACTGCTCTTACGATCGGTCCCATGGCCAGAATGTGAGAATGTGATTCTGGTATGCGATCAACGAGGTGAAAAACAACACTGCAAACTGATTTTCACACGCACCAGATGGTGCCCGAGCTCCCAGAAAAGGCAGCTTATGGCGCATTTGGCAATTGACCATGAACTGGATCGGTCTTGGGGTACACGCCACCGCGCAACTAGAACCGACGGACCTCACAGCAGACGTGCTAGGAGGAGAGCAAGCTTGCGGCCGCGGCCGCCCACGGCGACGCCGACGTGGTCCTCGCTCTGCTTCAAGCCGGTGTGCCGCCGACCGCCAGCAAGCTCGTACGATGTCTCGCCCATCCCGCTCCGCACCTCTTACGCTACGTGACGCTAGGGCTACTCGGCGCTCTTCAACGCTGCTTGGGGCAACAACATCTCGATCGTCGAAGCGCTCCTCGAGGCTGGCGCCGACGCCGACGCCGCGACCTGGGTACGTCGGCCCATCACCAGACCGTCGTCTCTCACGATCAGTGCGCTAGTTTGGCGTCACGCCGCTCCTGGTGGCTGTCGGGAAAGGCCATACGCGCGTTGTCGAGCTTCTCGCAGCTGCCAACGCGGACGTCAACAAGACGGACGTGGTACGCTTCCCTACGATCGTATGGCAGCACCTCATTTAAGATTGTGCGACAGTGGGGCGGATCGGCCATCTTCCGCGCCGCCGAGTGCGGCAACGCCGACATGCTCTCGCTGCTCATCGCTGCCAACGCGCACCTGGATGCACCGGACAAGGTCCATCAACGGCCGTCATAACACTCGCTGACTCTTCGTGGTAGCACGGTCGAACGCCGCTGCTCGTCGCGGTCCTCCACGGAAACACCGACGTCGTCAAGCTCTTGGTCGCCGCCAACGCCGACTGCAATTGCCCCACACGCGTATGTCGATCCTTGTTTCGGAGGCGAGGAGCTCATCCTGGGCGTAGGACGGCCTGTCGCCGCTGATGCTGGCCCTGTCGGCGGGTCAGCTCGCGATGGCGCAGCTCTTGATCGATGCGCGAGCAAACGTCCAGCAGACCAACCTCGTACGATCGTTTTTCCGTCTTTTTAGCATTTTCTGAATTGTTGAAGGTCGGCGACTCGGTGCTCTTTCAAGCCGTGCGCTCGGGCAACACGGCGATGGTCGAGGTCGTGGTCGCTGCGGGGGCCAACGTCAACCACGCCAACCGGGTAGCCATTCCGATGGATATCTTGAAACTGTATTGATACGTTGGACTAGGATGGTATCTCGCCGCTCCTTCTCGCCGCCACGCAAGGCTACTCGGCCATTGTCCGCGTCTTGCTGGCAGCCAACGCCCACGTGCACAGCTGCGACCAGGTACTATCCACTGTTTTGAAACAGAATATGTCTCAAACGAGATGTAGCATGGCACGTCTCCTCTGTTGGCGGCGGCCCACTTTGGCCACGAAGACGTCGTGCAGCAGCTCCTGGACGCATCGGCGAGCTCGTATCTGAGCAACAAGGTAATAGCTTCTGCGACGCTAGCGCCACTCATGTCAACGGACATAGCTTGGCGAGTCGCCCGTCTACCTCGCTGCCATGCACGGCCGCACTCGCATCGTCACGTTGTTATTGCAGTCGCAAGTCGACGTCAACCAAACAACCAACGTACGTCGCCTACCTCTGGTGTGGACAGAGGTACGATCTCATGTTCCTATTGTAGCTGGGCTACACGGCACTGCTGCAGGCAGCCGACAAGGGCTACATCGAGATCGTGCAGCAGCTTTTGGCCCACGGCGCCGACCCAAATCTGTGCACACCGGTGCGCCCATGGACTGTACAATGATCGGCGCTCATTCATGTGCTAGCTCGGCGACTCGGCCCTCCTCGCCGCCACCGAAAAGGGCAACGCGGGTATCGTCCAGAGCCTCTTGCTTGCCGGCGCAGCCGTGAACCAGTGCAATCACGTACTGTATTTCTACTGTGGAATGGAATCCAAGCTCAGTATTTCCAACATGTAGTTTGGCTCGGCGCTAACGTATGCTTGCTTCTTGGCCACGCAGATGTCGCCCACTGCCTCGTCGCGGCCGGCGCCGATGTCAACCTCTGCGATGCTGTGCGTTACCACCCGAGCCGCCTGCAAAAATGACTGATGTTGTGCATGTAGCTTGGTAATCGCCCAATCGTCAAGGCCGTCCAGATGGGCCACGTCGATGTGCTGCTCATCCTCTTGAACGCGGGTGCCGTTATCGACGACGCACTCCTGGTACACTGCCACATATATTGGCGAAGAAGGCTCATGGAGTATGGTAGGAAACGCTGGTGCGTGTGGCCAAAGCCAGAGGACACAGTCGCGTGCTGCACATTCTGGCGCCCGAGGCTATCGAGGTTGTCGTCAAGAGCTGTGACGAGACGACGCCGCTGGTCGAGTCGGCGGCCGCCATCGCCTAGTGCGCCTTTGTATTAATTATAAACAGGATCAATCCTGTGTTGGTATGGTCTATTGCTACTATATAGTTCTTGAACTATTGCACCGGTAACGTGCGAGTATTCAGTTGGCAATCCGACGACACAAAGTCTGCTGTACGACAAGCACCACTGCCACGTGGGAAACTATCAAAACACACGCACACTCGAACACGCGTGCTGCGATTCCTACGCGTGAAATTCACGCCACGCTTCACCTATACCACGTGTGAAACATAAAACACACGCATACGTTACCCGGTACGATTGCAATTTTCACATGTGGTCTACACCCTTTCCAGCGTGTGAAATGGTTGTGTAGCAATTCAGCAAAAGCAATATGGCGGTCGCCGACTGGGTTGGCCTTGGCGTACGTCGCTGTCGCCTCGTCGAAGTCGCTCACGCGTGGCAATAGGACGAAGCCAAGCTCGTCGAAGCGGTAGCGTGCGGCGGTGTCAGCACGGTCGCCCTGCTGCTTGAGAAAGGCGTGAGCCCCGATGCGTCCAAGCAGGTGCGTTCCAACGACGCACTGCTACGACGTCGCGCATGGTAGGGCTATCCGGCCTTGTACGTCGCCTTGAAGCGCAAGCAAGCGGCCATCGTCGAGATGCTCTTAACTGCGGGCGCCACCGTCGACAAGGCAGCGTGGGTACAACCTCCTCTCTTCCTTCCCAGCACTAGCGCCAACACGACTGCGCTGCTACTAGTATGGCATCACGCCGCTGTTGCTATGTGTGCGCCAGCGCAACACCAAGATGGTCGAGCGGTTGGTGGCTGCTGGCGCCAATGCCAACAAGCAAGATACGGTATCGCAGCAGCGACGAGTGGATCCCGATTTGAACTCGACGCGTAGTGGGGCACGACGCCGCTGGCACTCGCCGTCGAGGTCAAGGACCTCTTCATTGCGCGTGCATTGCTGGCCGCGGGGACCAACCCCAATGCTTGCGACTCGGTATCGACCTCTCTTGTCCAGAGTCGCTCAGAACAAAAATGTAGCGAGGTCGCAGCGCGGTGTGGCTAGCGGCCAACGCCGGCCTGGACTCGGTGCTGCGCCAGCTACTGGCCGCTGGCGGCGACTTGCATCTTGCCACCAAGGTACAATCGTCTCTCGGGAATAAATTATTCCCTTGGTCGGGTATCGCTGCTCATGGGCTGTTTGTTGTATGTCTAGCTTGGAACGTCACCGCTCATGGCGGCCGTGTCAGCCAAGCACTTAAACACCGCTAGCGTTCTCATGAAAGCGGATGTCAATGTCAATCAGCAGGATGCGGTGCGATCTCAATGCGAAGCTCAATCTCAATGCTAAAGTGTGTAGGTGGGACGCACAGCGCTTTTCATGGCCGTGCTGGCGGATCACCTTGTGATCGTTTCGGCGCTTGTCTCGGCCCGCGCCGACGTCAACATGGCCGACAAGGTAGTCGTTCACTTGCGCAGCATGCAGAGTTTAGGTAGCGTAATACCGGCGTAGGAGGGGTTCACACCGTTGCATGTGGCTACCACGGTCAAGCAGTGTTATTCGGTCGCAAAAGTGCTGCTCGCAGCGGGTGCTAACATCAACCTCACGACGAATACGGTGCATCGATCTCAATATTCTCGTGCCCATCGGAATCGAACCCTCGACTAGGTGGGCGAGTCGGCGCTTCTGATGGCAGCCAAAGACAACCAAACAGCGCTCGTCCAGCTCTTCGTCGACGCCAACGCCGACCTCGACAGCAAGGACAAGGTATCGAAACGTGGGCTTTTAGAGGCGCTCACGCCGTCGTAGCTGCAAGTGTTTCCACTCTTTGCCGCGACCAAGCACCGCAACACTGCGATGGTCGAGCTGCTTTTGGCCAAAGGGGCCAACCCGAACCAAACGATGACGGTACATACCATCAACGGTTTTTATCCCCTTGATACTATTCTGCACTCGTACATCATTGCGACTATATCCGTTATTGACGAGAACGGCGTGTCGCCGTTGTACTGTGCAGCGTACCACGGCTACAGCGATGTTGTGCGGCAGCTCACGGCAGGCGGCGCGAATCCCAACCTGGCGACCGCCGTACGATTCTATCAAGTTGATATTTTCATAGAATGCGTGTAGGCACACGATACGCCGCTGTTGGCGGCAGCGCGGCACGGGCACGCGCTCACGGTGGACTATCTACTGCAAGCCAAAGCCGCTGTCAACTGTACCAACGCGGTAACAGATTGTCACTCATACGATGGACGTCAGTGGAACTTCGGGATTGACTAGGGCGGGATGTCACCCTTGATGTTTGCAGCCCAAGGCGGTCATACCGACATTGTCGCGCTGCTGCTCTCGGCCAATGCGGCCGTCTACAAGCACGACGTTGTATGCTCCTTGTACAGTGTGCTTGCTCGTGCTGATTTGCTCCGTAGTACGCCGAGTCGGCGCTCTTGAAGGCGACACGCAAGGGCCACGCCGAGGTTGCCGGCCTCTTGGCGGCCGCCGAAGCCGGTCGCGTCGTTGTCGTGACGGTACCGACTATCAAGCATTTGTGTCATCAAATTCTCAAGCGCAGTGTAGAGCGCTGCCGATCCAGAAACGGCAGACTTCGAGCCGAGTAAAATGTTGCATCTCCAATGCCGCCTGCTGCATTGGATGACGCACGTGACGATTACTTTAACAAATCGCTACTAAAAGTGGAGAGTTCTGTACCTTGTCTTGAAGACAGATTTTCAGCGCGGCACCCATGGGCGCGGGTTTATAGGTCGCTCAAAGATGCCAGTTGATGGCAGCAGTGCTGCCAACACGCAGGCGCCGTCGCAGAACAGTTGATATTTCGGGTATTACCTGGTGTAGCTCCTCACTCGCATCACCTCGTGCACAGCGTGCGTATTCATTTGGCATTAGAGACTTACAAATTCTTTGGGCCAACTCGCAAACTCCGTCGTCTGTGGAGGCACGGCAGCGAGGACCGGAATTTTGAGCGTCAGCGCGATCTTGCAGCTCCTCCTTCTTCCAAGGTTGCCGGTATCGTAGATCGACACGGACCAGTCGTTATGAAGGGGCAAGGTACGGCGACTGGGTACTCGGAGAATTCGAGCTCCTTCCATGGTTTTGGCTTGCGCTCGCTTCGTAGCACAACGCGCAACAGCACAGCGTCTCGACACTCGACACTGTCCGCAGCTTCCGTCCGCTGGCACCTCGCCACTCTACAGTACTGGTACGTACAGTACTCTCTGGGCCTCCACAGCTCTCGCCGGCAGCATACAAGACGATCGCGATCAGACGCGAGGTTGCCTTTCTCAAGAATCTAAAGTGCAACGTGGGGCCACGAGGAAATTTCAAGAGCATCTCACCGGCCCCGTTCTTGGCACATACTGTGCGTGCTACCAACTCTGCGACCCACAAGCCAGCGTCGGCGCGCCAGCGTGACTCGCACCGGGGAGTGTGGGTGGCTGCTACAAATTAATAAAAATAATGAAAAATAATTACCAGACGCGCCATCGACGCCATCGACGCCATCGACGCAGGAAGGAAGATGCACGGCGGACCAGGCGTGCAGGCGTGCGGGATTCGTACAAGTGCTGCCGGTTGTGCAGTGGACTGATCGCAGTCCGGACTTTAACGCGTTTGCGTTAAATGTGTTTATCATCAAACCATCACTCTGCATGTCCCAAACACCCATTTGTGAATTTGCGTGGCATGGCGATTGCCGACCTCTTTGGCCTCGGGGTACGTCTAGCTCACCGAAATGCACGGGTGCAACATAGCGCTGTGCGTAGAACGAGAGCAAGCTCGCCAAAGCGGCTGGCCACGGCGATGCCGCCACGGTCTCTGCGCTGCTCAAGCAAGGCGTGAGTCCCAACGCCACCAAGCTCGTACGTCGTCGCGACGCTTGCGATCTTGTAGCATCGATCGTCGCTAGGGCTACCCCGCGCTTTTCAACGCCGCGTGGGGCAACAGCATCGCGATCGTGGAGATGCTCATCGAGGCCGGCGCCAACGTCAACCAGCGCGCCTGGGTACAATACTTGCACGCTGCACGCGCCGTCGCCTGAGTTGCGCTTGCTGCTATGTAGTTTGGCACGACGCCACTTCTCGTCGCGACGGGCAAAGGCCACGCACGCATCGTCCACATTCTTATTGCAGCCAACGCCTTTCTCAACAAGCGCGACAAGGTGCGATACCATGACGGTGGTTTTGGCGTAAAAATACATGCCACTCTTAGTGGGGCGGCACAGCACTCTTCCTCGCGGCCGAGCGTGGCAGCCTTGAGTTGACGTCGCTGCTCATTGCTGCCAATGCCAACCTCAACAAAGCCGACCACGTAGATTTGATTTGGACGCAAGTGGGAGCCCGATGACATCTCTTTTCTCGTAGTATGGCCGGTCACCGACGTTGATCGCGGCGCAGCATGGACACGCAGACGTCGTCGACGCCCTCGTCAACGCCCACGCCGACTACGACAAGCCCAATCATGTACGCGCAGTACTATCAAGTTGATTCATGGATCGACCGACATGGATTTCTTGTAGCACGGCGAGTCGCCACTCATGGTGGCCGCCCTGGCCAACCACATCGACACGCTGGTGCTCTTGCTCAACGCGGGCGCGGACGTCAACCAATGCAACCGGGTACGCACGACAATATTGTCCATTGAACTCGGTACCATTTTTGCAACTAGCACGGCGAGTCGATTCTGCTGCAAGCGGCGGGGAGAGGCCACGTCGTGGTCGTCGACCTCCTGCTGCGCGTCGGTGCCGCCATCGACACGCGCAGTCTCGTACGTTGTCTGGTTGCTTGGATTTCTGTGACGACGGCGCGTCATGTGATTAGAACGGCAGCTCAGCGCTCTTGGTGGCGATCGCGGAGGGGCATGTCGACGTCGTCCACCTCCTCGTGGACGCCGGAGCCGACGTCAACCAGTGCGACCAGGTTGGCTGTACCCACGCTTCCGACGTGAGGTTTTAAACCACGAGGCTAGAACGGCATGTCGCCGCTGCTGCTGGCCACGTACCATGGGCAGCTCGAGGTCGCCCTCGCCCTCATCAACGCCAGTGCCGACCCGCACATGACCAACAACGTACCACGCTCGCTTTGCGGCTCCGACTCATTTGTACATCCAATAGTTGGGCTCGTTTCCGCTGCTGGCCGCCGTTTCCCAGGGCCACCAAGGGCTTGTGGACCTCTTCATACATTCGTCCGTCAACGTCAACCAAGCCACAACAGTATGCTCTGTCGTTTCAGCTCTCGAGGCTCACGAGACATACTATCATGTAGGCAGGACACACCCCGCTTATGCGCGCTGCTGACCTTGGCCACCTCTCGATCGTGCAACTGCTCATTGCCGCCAACGCCGACACCAACTTGGAGAGCCTTGTAGTAGCTCAACGGAGACGACAGCAAGGACTGACGCCCTCGTGCCTCGTAGACGGGCGACACGGCGCTCATTTTTGCGGCATTTCGAGGCCAATTTGAAATGGCCCAACACCTCGTGGCGGCCCAAGCCAACATCAACCACTGCAACAAGGTGGCTCGAACCGGCGACGAGCTGCCTTATCTCACATACAACTAGGCGGGTGTGTCGGCCGTGAGCCTCGCGGCCGCCGGTGGCCACGTCAACATCGTCCACTTGCTCATCGCAGCGAACGCTGATATCAACAAGTGCGACTGCGTACGTTGCCCCATATCCGAGGCTGGTTCATTGACAGAAGCTGCTTGCAGAGGGGCGAGACACCGATCTTCAAGGCCGCAAGGAATGGCCACGCGCAGGTGGTGGAGCTGCTGCTTCTGGCTGGTGCCCAGATCCACCAGCCGGACGAGGTACTATGCAAGGTGCCACGAGGGTACTAACACGGGGTAGGTGAATCCGCTGGCCGTGGCGCGGCGACGGGGCCACCGTCACATTGAACAGCTACTGGAAGTGACGCCGATGGCAATTCCTCTCGTGTCGATCTCAGTGCCGACCGAGTCGACGCCGCTTGCCGTCTAACGACGCTGTATGTTAATTTAAGCGTGTGGTGTTTAAACGACTGCGTTAAACGACCGCAGACGGGATGAGTTGTTGTTGCTCATGGGTTGGGGAAATTGCGCTTCGGCGCAATCTGGTTCGTTGATAGCGGTCGACGAGCCAAAGCGCACCCAGCGAGGGCAGACAGCCAACTGAATCATGGTCCTGACTCTATGCTGCTAAGGTAAGCTAGCTATTCGATAGACCCCTGAGCACCAAGGCATTCGCTGTGCACCATCGCTTGGCTCTGGACGAGGCAGCAGACTGGACCGTAGACAGTCGGTGATTTTTTATTTGTCTGATTTTCTCGAAATATCTTCTCACTCGACTTGATTGGCCGAAACAGACCAATCAAGTACACACTCCATTTGGTCTAGCCAATCAACAGGCGGTGCTTCAAAAAAGTCTCCGCTGAATTGACGCGGCCGTGTCTTTGGGTCGGGTGTCAAGGACAAGAGGCTACGATCTGGTTCCACCGCCGCCATCGTGCCACTAGGTACTAGTACCGATGCCGGTATTGAAGAATCTGATGACGTAATACGTGCGACTGGGCAGTACTCCACGGCGTCCCACGACTGATCTAAGTGCCAGCGCTGTCGATGGTGTGGGTCCTCCCTCGCGCGCCGCGTCACTTGCACCCATGAGAAAGTGCAGTTGCACTTGTACGCGGGTCATTTTCAATCATTTTCTGCCACCAAAATGGGCGTGCGCGACTGGTTTGGCCTCGGGGTGCGCGCTACCGCACCGACCGACCGACTCATGTCCCTGGTCATGTAGGACGAGAGCAAGCTCGCTCGAGCGGCTGGCGCCGGCGACCTCTCGCTCGTGACGTCGCTCCTTGGGGCGGGTGTGAACGCGAATGGCATTTGCCTGGTAGCACTGGCACGCGTCATCCTATGCAGCGCTAAGCGTCGGACGGGCTAGGGCGTACCAGCGCTGTACAAGGCGGTCGTCGCCAATCACGCAGCCATCGCGCGGCTCCTCGTTGAAGCAGGCGCCAACCCCGACTTGCCGACGTGGGTACGTGCTGCCGTCGCACTCGCGTCTACACGACCACGTGCGTAGACCAAAGCGATCCCTTTGGTTGCGGCTGTGGTCCGTGGCCACACGAGTTGCGCTGCGCTTCTCATCGAAGCTGGCGCAAGCCTCGATGTGCTCGATCGGGTAGCTCAATCCACAGCGCCCGGCTCGTTTGGACGCGTGTCATTTTGTAGCGCGGCGACTCGCCTCTGTACATTGCTGCCGACGGCGGCTACGCCGACATTGTGCGACTCCTCATCGCGGGACACGCCAACGTCAACCTTTGCAACGCGGTAGCCAGCGATCCATTTGGTTGATTCGCTGACCTGGAAGCGCAGACGGGGCAGTCCCCTCTGTTTACCGTGGCCTTGCACGGCTACTCGGCGATCGTTCAAGATCTACTGGCGGCCGACGCCAACTACGACTGCGCCAATCAGGTTCCGCACCATTCCGTATGGTTGTATTAACGTGTAGTACGATATAGCTAGGGCAGACACCGCTGCTGGCGGCAGCGATGACCGGCCGAAATGAGATTGTTGCGCTGTTGGTATCGACTGGCGCCCAGATCGACCACTGCAACCACGTACTGCGCTGATCGTCAAAGGGATCATCGCGCTGAACGTGTTGCGGGCCGTGAACGTAGTTTGGACACTCGGCCGTGTTTCTGGCTGTCTACAAGGGCCATGTCGATGTTGTCGCCCAGCTTGTGGCCGCCCGGGCCAACGTCAATCTCTCCAACGACGTACGTCGTCCTGTGTTGTGTAGACCAGAAACGTCGGGCCTTCATGTTTTTGGAATTCTCTAGGAAGGGTGCACGCCGCTCTTCATTGCCGCCAAGCGAGGGCTTCGCGACACCGTCAAGCTGCTGCTGGACGCGGGGGCGAGCGCCCACCTCAGTGATAAGGTGCCCGGGATCGTGCTGCGAACGTTCTTTTGGCGCCAACAGCCAGCTGCGTAGAGTCAAAACACACCGCTGCTCATGGCGGCCAACGGCGGGTATACGGATATCGTCTCGCTCTTGGTCGTGGCCAAAGCCGACGTCAACCAGCCCAATCAGGTCCAGCTCGAATTCGCCTAGGGCTAGGGTTTTCTGATTTCCAAACGCAGAACAAAGATACCCCGCTGATTTGGGCCGCGGACCGGGGCCACGCTCCCGTCGTGCAGTGCCTATTGGCTGCCAAGGCGAATGCCAACCATTGCAACACGGTTCGTCCTCGAGTAATGAGCCGATTGACGTAGGCAGTCCGTAGGCAGGTCGGTCGGCGCTGCTGGTCGCTGCGCGGGGGGGGCATGCCCCCGTGGTGGAGCTGCTTCTCGTCGTGACAGCCGACATCAACAAGGCCGATATCGTGCGCCAGATATCCATGATTCGGTCTCTACACCCAACTACATCTAGAACGGAGAAACCGCCATTTACACTGCCGCCAGACGCGGCCATCTTGCCGTTGTCAAGTTGCTCGTGGCAGCGGGCGCCAATACCCACCTTCCCGACAAGGTATCACTCGTTGCTTTCCTAGCCCGTGTACTAAAATCTATTCCAAATGCAGGTAAATCCGCTGACAATTGCGCGTCAGAACGGCCACCACGCGACGGTTCGCGTTCTTCTCGCGGCTCAAAAAGTATGTTTTAAATCCAAATGCAAGCGCTTACGCAAGCGTTTAGGCGCAACTGAGTGCGCTCAAACCACCCGTGCTGTGCTTGGTCAAGCTCGGTCGCGGCCGCCACGGCGACGTTTTTAAAAGCTCGCACCTCGGGCACACGGTCGCGATCAAGACCATTTACCCGACCAACGACGCGACCTTTCTCAGCACGCTGAACCGAGCGCAGCAGTACAAACTTAGTCTCTTGACAGAGTATAACTGGGCGGTGTAGGCTCGACTGCCCGCAGCTCGCGCGGTACCATGGCATCGTCCACTCGGCCAACGGCACCCATCGCATCGCGATCGAGTACGTGGATGGCGGCAGCGTGCGCGACCACCTCGCCAAGCTCCAACGCGGCGAGCGCACTCCGATCTCGACACCCGCCGTGGCGATGGCCGCTGCACGAGGACTTGTTGCCTTGCACGCTGCCGGTCTCGTGCACGGTCGCCTCACATCTTCCAACATCTTTCTCTCGATGACGTCGGTGGCCAAGCTCACCGACTACAGCTTGGACGACGCGTCTTCGTGGACGCGGTCATCGGCGCCCGAGGTCCTCGCAGGCTATAGCCCGACGTCGGCGGCGGATATCTACGCCTTCGGGCTTTTCTTGGTGGAGATCGAGACGCGTCAGGTGCCGTATCCAGAAATGCACGAGATCGACGTCCTGGCGGGCGTCAAGCAAGGCACATTGCAGCCAGAATGCACTGCGTCGGTCGCCCCGTGGTACCGCAATCTCGTGCTAGCGTGTGTGCAAGCAGACCCTGTACGCCGCCCGACCGCCGCCGACGTCCTCCGGTGTCTTGAATCCAATGATAAGTAGTCAACTGTTTGGTAAATGATTGGTCTGTCCTTGAAGAAGAAGCGTTGTGGCCCTTGAGTCAAATGAGGTATGTACTGCGGGGCGACTCGAAGTCTGTGCACACACACAAAAGGGACACAGTGCTTCGTGAGTCGTTTGCTTGAGCGTTCGAACTGAAGTGTTCTCGACCAGAGTTGACGCAAGCGAAAGGCAAACAAAGGCAAGCAAAAGGAGTATGCACGAAGATGTTTCCTGACTAGAACCTCGACTACCGCAGCCTCTGAACCTTCCAACCTTCTGGCCCATCTAAAGTGTAGTAGCCCAACAAGACGAGAACGTTACTGGTCAGTCAATGAGCTGTCGAATGACACGCTTTCTCCAAGATCAGGCTTATCAGCCGGTGACCATCCAAACCGGTGACCTACCTGGTTAAATGAAGGAGTTGAATCTGGATTGTGTTTGGCCATGAGCTGCCTCCGATATCCCCACTCCAGAGCCCGAGGAGCCACAACGGTGTGGAAGCCATGACGTGCGACACGATGTTATTCGAGTAGCTACGTCTGCTGCGCCTCGAGGATCGCGCAAATGTTCTGGATCGACGGGCGCGCCGACGGGTCTTGTTGCAAGCAGGCCTCGACGAGTTCTCGGAACCACGGGTCGCAGCGCGGGCTCAGCTCAGGGCGCAGCCAGCCGTTCTTGATCGCGACCATGACCTCCCAGAGGTCCATCGTCAGCGTCGCGTACGGTGCCGCGCGCGTCTCGAGCTCGACGAGGACGATGCCGAGGGCGTAGACGTCAGCGGGCGGCGACGCCTCGTGGCCCAAGAGGACCTCCGGTGACGTCCAGCACAGCGTGTTCTCGACCGGGTTGGTCACGTGCAGCTGCTGCGGGAGACCGTAGCCCGCGAGCTTGGCGACGCACAGAGACGTCAGCAAGACGTTGGTGCTCTTCAAGGCGCCGTGCACGATGTCCCGTTCATGGAGGTATCGCAGTCCGTGGGCCATCGACGTTGCAATCGGCAGCAAGCTCGCAAACGTCGCGCTCTTGTGCGTGTCGAGGTAGTGGCGCAGATGGCCGCCGTCGACGTACTCCATCACGAGCAGCGGTGGCTCCAGTGGCGGCAGCTGGAGGTGGCGCAACCGCACGAGGTTGACGCAGTCGAGTCTACGGCCCATCGTCATTCTATGTCCGAGTCTGTAGAGCGTTGCCTACTTGGTCAAGGCAGCGACAGCCGCGGCCAAGGACGAGGTCGACTCGCCGTGATGCACAAAAACCGACTTGACCGCGACGGGGTCGCCGCGAAAGGTGCTGCGGTAGACAAAGCCTTGGTGGCCGCGGCCAAGGATCTGGAGCCGCGGCAGCTCGTTGGCCTGCGCGTGCGATGAAACCTCTCCGATGCAAGAGACTAGAAGGAGGACCATGGCCGTCGCCTCGGAAAGCATTTGGAGAATGTCGTCGTGCCCGTGGTTGCGCGCAACCGTGAACGGATCAAACTAGATGAGCCTGTCAAGCAGAGGAATCCAGAAGCAACGTACGAGGCGCGAAGGCGAGAGAGAGGCGCCGGCGAGAAGCAGCTGTCGCACAATCTCGCCGTGGCCCTTGGCGATGGCCACCACGAGCGCCGACACGCCGTTCTACCTTGGACGTCGCGAGTCGCTCTGTTCAAGTTCCTACCTAGCGAGGCATGGTTGTTTTCAGTGCCGATGGCAAGAGAGAGGGTCGTACCTTGTTGTGCTTGTTGAGGTCCGGCTTGGCCGATAGCAGGCGTGTGACGACTGGGACATGACCCCCCCGGGCAGCGACAAAGAGCGACGACTCGCCAAACTAGTTGCACGTCGCGTTCTAGCTCCAAAATCGCATGCAAACCTAATGGTAGAATTGGATGGAATGTGCGCTGTTGTCGGTGGTATACCTTGTCGAGCTGGTTGACGCTGGCGCCGGCGTCCAATAAGAAGGCCAGAACTGAGAGGCGCCCATACTCGGCGGCCAAGAGCAGCGCGGTCTTCCCTTTCTAGTCACCGTCGAGATTGCGACATCGGCTAATCTCCTAAGCAATTAGACTACCGCGTCGGTCGAGTCGATAGGGACGCCAAACGAGAGCAAGCGGCGCACGATCGTTTCATGGCCGGTGGCGGCGGCGGCCAACAAGGCTTCCGCATCGTCCTGCACCAACATGTACAAAGACAATTGCAATAGTACAATAGAGTACCTGCGTCGAAAGCGCATGCGTCGCCAGGAAGCACTCGATGACGGCGGCGCGTCCGTTGGTGGCCGCAATGACCATGGCGTCCTTCTAGCCACATGCAGCGTCAGCGACCAAGGCATCGAGGCTCGTTCGAGATACCAACGACTGCGTCGTCGCTTGAACGCGAGGCAGGAGAAGCGCAACGATATCGTCGTATCCTCGCTCGGCAGCCACGTACAGCGCAGACTGTCCTTTCTGCAATGACGCAGTTGGAGTCACTCGATGCATCATATCTGTACCGGCGGCGTATGGGCGACGTTGGCGCCAGCGCACAGAAGGAGCTCGACGATGGCAGCATCCCCCGCGGCGGTTGCCAGAACCAGCGGCGGCACCCGCGCCTGGAAACAGGGATAGGACGATGAATGACGCACTGCACAGTACTACCTTGTCGCAAGCATCGGGAGCTGCACCAGCGTCGAGGAGAAGCTCTACGATCGCAGCGTGGCAGTTGCGAACGGCGGCGACGAGCGGTGGTCGGCCAAACTAATAACGCAAGCGCTATCGACCGGACGACGAAATGCTGGGATCGTACCCAGGTGCGGGCGTTGGCGTCAGCGCCAGCGTCAAGCAGCAGCGTCACCATGGCGGTGTTCTCGGTTAAAATTGCCAAGTAGAGTGCGTTGCAGCCCTAGCGCACGTCAGCGGCGGCCCGCGGCGATGTAGCAGCAGACCTGGCGGACGCTGTTGGGGCTCACGCCGTGGTCGAGGAGCCGCTTGACGTAGCTCTTGTCGCCGGCAAAGGACGCGCGCGCGAGGTCGCTCTCAGCCTATAACGATATAGTACAGTCGCGCAGGGCGGAGGAAGGTAGCGTACACCAAGGCCAATCCAGTCCAAGACGCCCATCATCGACAGAAGATTGCCACACTGGCAGCCGGCTGCCTTTGTGTCGCGCCAAGTACGATTCCGCACTTTACCGGGACTATTGGGTGTCGTTTGATCGCAAGTCCAACCCAAGAGCTCCCGGCAAGCTACCTGCGACGACAACCAGCGCTTACTCAACACGAAGCTCTGCGAAGCATGCTACTACACGACGTGTCGAGGGCGACACTAGCATTAAATGGCGCGCTCACCCTCGTACATGCAATGCGGAGGACCTTGGAGTCAACGTAGCCAATGCAGTCCTCGCAGCACGAGCTTTGATCAAACTCCGTGAAGAGAGTCTCAATGCATTTTAAAGGGGTATTGAACGCTACTCTCTGGCTTGCGCACCGCCGTCGACAGTCCAGCGTTGTAGCACGAGATACATTTGTGTTGACGCCGGACAACAAGGCAATTGGTGATTCGAGCGTCAAGGTGTCGTCGACTTGCCACCGCCTGTGGCAAGCAGCGTTGAGGATTGTGACAGCGAAGCCAACACCGTAGCGTCGTCAGGTATCCTCGCCACCGAGAGCCCCGGTGTTGAGAGTCCAACCCTTGCGGCATCGTAGCCCTGTCGTCAAGCGTCACTGCCAGCTACGACGTTCAGCACAAAGCAAGGGGCATAGGTGAGGCAAACGTACTTGGTCGGCGGCGCGTCGCAATCAGCATACGCGTATATGAGTCGGACGGGAAGGGCGCCGCCTTAAAGTGCGAGGGATAGGACGTCCCAAACTGTTGTGCGCTCGCGACGTGGGCTCGTGTGCGCGGCAGACGATACAGACCACGACGCGCAAGAGAATGGTCAAGGTGCCTGGTCGAGCAAGGCGCGCTGGTCCACATCATAGATGCGGCGTCTAGCGTCTCGAGCAGCAGAGAGCTTGGTGGTATGCTGCCGGATGCACGTCGGTACCACTGGATGGCGCGAAGAAACGCTGCGACCTGACGGTACCGACGCGGCCGAAAACCTTTTCAACGTTGAGAAGCACAGCACACCGTCGGGCAGATCGAGTCGAGCGGCCGTCCAATCGCTGCATTTGGCTCATAAATGAAATCGGTTGGACCTGAAAGTCCGGTCACGGTTGAAGCCGGTCGCCTGTCTCGTGCAAGAGAATCGTGCTACCGAACGCACCGTCGCCTCAGTGGTCAGACACTGGCTGACGACGTGCTTGAGAGCTGGCGCTTACTTGGACGGCGCGCGTGATAGACTCCGTGCGGCAGCCCATCCATGTGTGTAGGAGCGCGGAGCTCGTGATCGACTCGTGGCTCTGGCTCTTGGACGAGCCCATGCGCGCTGACCTGGTGATCACCTTTATCGTGTTGCGACTCTACAAGCAAGTTGGCGAAACCGAGCGGGTTGCCATGACACGGCTCGAGGAAGGCTGCGAAGTGGTCGGCACCAACAAGAACGCAATCCTCGGGGTCGACGACGACGACGACGCGATGGCCATCTTCCCCAAACTTCTTGAGCACCTTCATGCGCTCGCGCTTGGCCTTTCAGGCCGCAATCGTGTCCCGCGGCCGAAAGACGATCGGTGCGGGGTCTTGGTCGCCGCCTGGAGCAGATGCCTCATGCACATTTCGTTGCTCATGGCTGGCAGGTCGTTGTCCATGCCGGCGTGCTGTGGCGGCTCGAGCGCGGTAGTAGCTGGGAGCAGGCGGAGGTTGCCACGTCTGTCGGCGCAGACGGCGTCGTGAAGCATGACAATGGCTTGGCGGCAAAGCGGGTAGTGAGCCACCAGCGACCAGAAACCTCGCAAAAAAATGACTAGGCTGTCTCGGTTTCATGTCATCCGGATAAAAAGGCGGCTTAGGGGGCGTGCAGCTAGCCAACATCGAGTCTCTGAGGTTATTCTCTATCTATCGATAGATATGTATATGCAATGGATAGAGGTATGCGTTCCAAGAGACTTTTTCCGGACCCCATATTTGGATATTCGACACGATGGGCGCCGACGACAAGACGACCAAGACCGCTGCGCAGGTCTCGGAGGACCTCGAGCAGGACATCAGCACGCTGCCCAAGATGGAGATTGCCCATCTGCACTACCTTCTGCAGGCGTCGGCCTCGGCGCATGCGGCGGTCTCGGCGGACGAGGTCTCGGCGGCCAAGGCCAAGCTTCTCGAGCACATCCAAGCTGACAGTACGTTTCCCATAGCCTGCGCGCAGAAAATCATGTCGGTCGTAGACATGAGCCCGTACTATGAGCAGCTCTGCGCCGAGTTCCAGTGGCCCGTCGATGCGGCGCTTCTCGCGACCATGAAGTACATTGCTCGAGCCTCCTGGACATGGCTCATCATGCGCCGCTTCTAGGAAGGCCAACGAGGACGAGCTGAAGGCGCTCGACGTGCAATTGGAAGATGCGATCGCAAACCTCGGCGACATTGAGGTCCTCGAGACGCACCTCGCGCGCGCGCGCGTCTTTTCCAAGATCGGCGACAAGGCCAACGTGCTGGAAGCCTTCAAGACGGCGCTCACCAAGCCGACGTCCATCAACCAAAAGATCATCATCGAGCTCCACATCATTCGCATCGGCCTCTTCTTCTCGGACCTCGAGCTGGTCGAAGCGCACATCAAGAAGGCGACCGCGCTCATCGACGAAGGCGGCGACTGGGACCGCCGCAACCGCCTCAAGGTCTACGAAGGCTGCTACCTCCTCATGGCCCGCGACTTTAAGAAGGCGTCCAAGCTCTTCCACGTACGAGATGCCATGTGCTCCATGCTTCAATTGCACGCATGTAGGAATCGGTCGCGACGTTTACGAGCACGGAGCTCATGTCGTACCCGACCATGATCTTCTACGCCGTCATCACGTGCGTCTTGAGCATGGACCGCGTCGACCTCAAGAAGAAGGTACGTCCATGCAGGAGACCCTTGTCGTCGTCTCATGCAACATCATAGATTGTCGACTCGTCCGAGGTCTTGGCCGTGATCCTCGACATCCCGCACCTCTCGGACTTTCTCAACGGCCTTTACAACTGCAACTACAAGCAGTTCTTTACGGCCATGGGTGCGAGCCTTCTCCACCGCCACCTCGAAGCATATCGTCTCTGCTGCGTAGTGCAACTCCACCCGTACGTGCACCGCGACAAGTACCTCGCGGCGCACTCGCGCTTCATCTACCGCGAGCTGCGCATCCTCGCGTACACGCAGTTTCTCCAAGCGTACCGAAGGTGCACCGGCGTCTTCCTCGCACCCTCTCACCCGATGCTGCTAGCGTCACGATGCAGTCGATGGCCCAATCGTTTGGCGTTGGCATCCCGTTCTTGGACGCCGAGCTCTCGCGCTTCATTGCCGCTGGCCGCTTGAACGCCAAGATCGACAAGGTAAACGGAGCTGTGGCCCACGACGTTGACAATTCGCTTAGGTCTCGGGCGTCATCGAGACCAACCGCCCAGACGCCAAGAACGCGCAGTACCAGGAGACGATCAAGCAGGGCGACGCGCTCCTCAACCGCATCCAGAAGCTCGCACGTGTCATCAACGTCTAAGTTGGCACGAGGTATCGTGCTAACGAGAGCATATATTCGATCGATGCACATGGCTTTGTATACTACCTCTTTTGTGATGACCGACGCCACGGCAGCCGCAGGTCTCATCAGACGAGCATGCATCACCCATCGACCCGTCCTGCATGTATTCACAGAGAGATCACGGAGATGACCGCATTGAAAATGACGTGGCAGACGGGTGGCTATGCTAGCAACACGCTCGCGTGTGGCATTTATGTCGTCACCGCCAAAGTGTGGTCGTGGATGATCGAGCACTTGCGAGCCCAGGACGGCGACCTCGAAGAAAAGCCAGCGAAAGCCCACGAGACAACAGAATTGAGCGCTGATGAATCACGGACCAAGCACAGCGTCTTGCGTCAGTTGGGAAACTCAATGCCAGACGGCACGTGTCTAGACATGCGGTCCATCGACGTTGGTTGATCTAGCGTCGTAGCGGCCAAGCAGTGTCTCGGCCAAGCAGTGTCGATTGTATTGGGTATTCCGGATACATCGTGATGAAGCCCCAGGCAACAGCCATTGTCCGTGCATGCTGGCGCTTGGGGCTTTCGCCGCCAGCTTCCTCTACGTAGAGCATCGGCTGCTGGATGTATCGCAGCATAAAGTGTCAAGGGCCTTGCTACCATGCCTAGACATATATATCTGTCGTCGATCCACGAACTGCCATATACTATCGGCCGGCAAGCGAGCGTGACGTTGCGTGCAATCGTCTTGTCGATCCAAAATATGGCGAAACCGGGCCGACGGAAGTATCATGTGATGCAAGGTAGGGTCGTCTACGCTTCCATCGTCGCAGTAACTTGACGCCATTTCGCAGTACACAGATCTATCTCAATGAACACTTTTGGGTGGGTAAATACTACTAATTTATAGCTAAAAACGCATGCCCTTCGATCGGGTCATACATCCAAGTGGCCGACACTGGCCTCGGAATCGGAGCTCACAATAAAGAACGCGCCATCGTGCTTGAAGCTCAGCGTTTTGCTCAGTGACGTTGTCGATAGGAGCTGGTGCTTGCTGCTGAATCGTCCCAAGGTCGCCATGCTCAAGCTGCTAGGGTCCATCACAGTCGACGACGCCTCAGGTCGGCGCTTGAACGGGATTTGAAGCACCGTCGTGCCGCAGATCGAGAGCTGGTAGCCGTGGTAGAACCGGTCCATGCTGTCCGTGCGGACGAAGACCATGAGGCAGAAACCGACGAGGCAGAGCACCCAAATGAGCTGCACTTGATCAAAGTAGTCGGCGCGGTCGCCGGAGAAGCGTGTCGCGACGACGACCGACCCGAGGGACCAGCCTGCGAGCATGAGCCCGTACATCGTGCTCATGTTGTAGACGCCGTAGAGGTCCGTGAGGAAGCAGCCGATGACCGCAAATCCGCCGTTCGCGGCGATCTTGGCGATGTAAATCATGGTTTTGAACCGAGCAAAGTCGTCGAGGGTGTCGAGCAGCAGCGGCAACGACACGGCGGGCAGCAGCAGCAGCAGGAGAAACACCACCTTGCGCGCGAACGCCGGGTTCCAGTAGAGTGCTTTGCTTATCGCATCCGAGAGCATCGGGCACGCCACGCGGCTCAGCAGACCCGCAATGTCGGCGTGTAGCCGGACGTTTTCGTTGCTCGTCGTGTTGAACCAGCGTAGAATCCGGTCGGCGTCGGTCGGGTTCGAGATCTCGGCGTAGAGCAGCCCCGTGCACGCGAGCGCGGCCGAAGCAACCGCGAGGCAGAGAAAGTCGGTCGAGAAAATGCACTGCAGCAGCGTCAAGCCTCGGACCTGTTCGTGGTACGCTCGTTCCGTGCCCGCGACCGCTCCGTCCCGACGCGGCAGCGTCAGCGCAGAGTAGTTGACGAGTGTCATGCCAATGTTGTAGTAGTCGTCTTGGAGCGTCGTCGAGCTCGGTACAGCCTCGGTGGGGACGCCGTGCATGTCGTGGCCGTGGACGCGAAAGGTCGATGGCGGCGTCCGCATCGCAACGATTCCGAACGCGAGAAGCGGCGAGAGGAGCAGCATCGCAAAGAGGAACGTCGTGTTGAGAGCCATCTCGTCGGCGAGGTGGTCGCGGATGCAATCGAACGCCGCGTTCCACGCAATCTGGCCCGCGCCAAAGCCCAGCATGCTCACGCCGAGGGCCGACCCGCGCAGATCCGGGTACCATTTCTGTACGGTCGAGACGGCGGCAATCACGAGAAAACCAAAGCTGAGGCCGCAGCCGATGCAGCCGACGACCAGCGGCGCCCAAATCCGTGCCCAGAGTGCAATCTGGATCGCGCAGAGACCCACCATCGCGAGGCTACTACCGACGAGCATGCTCCAGCGCGGCCCGCGGCGCTCGTTGACCGGGCCCACAAAAACCATGGCGAGTGCGATTGCGACGCCGCTCTCGATCGCAAGCTGCGCGTTGCGGTTGTTGGTGGACTCGCCAAACACGTTCAAGTCGAAGGGCTTGGAGATGATGGTCATGGAGAAGAGGACGCCGCAGACAAACTGCACAAGTGCGGCGGCGATTAGAATGTAGTACCGGAAGAACGGCCGGAACTGGCACGACCTCTCGCCGCCAGGTAAAGGGCACACGAGCAGCCAGCGCTCGGCATCGATCGCGGCGAGCGACTTGGGCGGGATCACGATGCGCCAGTAGTCGCAGAACCAACGTGCCATGGGGATCGGCAAATGTCAAATGCTATGGTGTGATCGCTTCAAGTCATCAAGTGCCGTAGATCCGGATGCGCCAACCGGTTTCGGAATTCTCAAAACGGTTGTCAATTGTGCCATGTGTGTCGCGAGACGTCACGTCCGAACGGCGTGCGCGACGTATATGTACTCATCTGTGCGAATTCGTGGCTGCGACAACTTGTCCTGCGACGTAACGACGACGTGATGACCCGGCGGTGCGAACTGAGACGAAGACACTCGGGGAACCACTAGTTTTGTTGACACGTTATATGGTGAGGAGCTTGGGTGAGTTTACCGAGTCGAAGCGGACTTTTCAAGAGAAGGCGACTCAGCGAAACCAGCGACTGGTCGGCAGAGCCTAGCCTTCTAGTTTCCGATCTCCGCCAAGCAGCCCGCCACGTCTCACCCGAGGTGCAGTGGTAATGCAGGCCTCGCGCCTTTTTTCCCCTGAGCGAAGAAGTGAGTCTTGCGAACACGTGGAAGTGCGCACAAGTCATCTTTATAGAACCGTACTGCTAGCCATGTTGCCGTGTTGACGTATACCAAGGCAGATTTGGACGATGGAAGCATCTTGAATTCCCTTAAGCATCGGATACAACCAAAATACCTCGACGTCTTTCCACTTATGCAGTCAAGAAACATCTCGAAACTGGTGTTCTTGAACTGAGTTATTGTATGCAATTATAAACACTTCAGTACTGTGGCTTCAGAGTTGTCGCCCTGACTAGGAAGCAGGATGTGCCCAAGCGTGCCGATTTTGCGAGCTCCGTGCAAGCACCCGTCGTGAGTACTGTTGGCACTGCCAACAGTCGCCACCTTGTCAATGTGTCTTCATCTGGTGCGCGCATGTTTGTCGCTGATGACTAACGACCAGCATGAACTCATATCAGGTGCAAAGTTTCACGGGATGAACTCCTTAGACAACTTGTTGAGATCAGAAATCAGAAATCAGATTACAGTACCGGTATCGGCGCGACACCAGATGATGCCTTGACAAAGAATACACATTACACAACCAGATCGAGACTGCTGCTGAACACTCAAGTATTGTGCCTCTTCCAAATGATGGCAGCCCTGCGGCACGACGCATGGCTACGCGACAACTTTGTTCCGGCATGTGCCGTTTACACGCCACGTCTCCCGCTCGGCTAAGCCTCTCGGCGGCCGGCTCGTCGTAGCATCTTGGAATCGATAGTCCACCACCATATCCAGTTCAGTGTAAATTGTATCTAAATTGACTCACTTCAACAACAACAACCGGATCGAGTACCGGGTACACTGTACTCGGCAAGTGGAGCCTTTGTTGGAAGGAGGTTTGTGTTGAATCGGTACATCACTGGCCTTGCCATTCACCTTGACGTCGCTGATATCGTCAATGCAAGGTCAGAAGCGACTGGAGCCGGCGTGCAAAACACGCGAAGTGCGATGCATTACAGACAGCGGGTTTTGAAGCAGCCGTCGTTAAACGACACCATTGCATCATGCCATTGCATTGTGCAGTGGAACGTCTCAAGAGCGACGAGCGACAGGTGTGGATGCATGCAGACGGGCTGCCCTTCGGAACCATGATGGTCCCGTGTGACCATGATGGTCCCGTGCGACATCAATGGGAAATAGAAGAAAGGGGCGACACCTACGGAGCTCGAACCCCGCACCTCCAGCGAGTCAAGCAGGAATCCACCGATTGAACAGATTGTCGACTAAGTGCCATCTGCATCTTGACAGAGCGTCCAGGTGACCGACCTGCTGCGGCCTTTTATAATAGTACACTTCTCGCAACGCTCGTCAGCCCGCTGTCTATTGACAGTTACATAAGACTTCTGGGCATTTCGGCCTCGGTCCGCTTTGAGCGAGAGTCGAATGAATCCTCCCACAAATTACAGACAGCTCGTTGACTTGGACGCTGGGCGAGCCAGAAAGACGCCAGCTCATTCGTCCCGCAGCAGCGTCCCAGCTTATTTACTTTACCGCTAAGAACGAGGGTCGCCGTCACTTCGCCGTGCAAAGGCGGCAGACGGTTTATTGGACGCTTAGTCATCTCTAGCCGCCAGGGGGCTGGGAGACGCGCTCCTGGACACTTTTCTATAGGACATACAGTCTCAATCTAAGCAAACGAAAGCGCAGCCCTATTTGGTTCCCAAGCGTTCATTGTTGCGGACGCATCATTGCGTGCGGCGCTTGCACTTGAAGCGCATCAACTTGCCACAATCACACACATTCTGATTTTGAGGGCCCCCACCCTCATACAAACGCCAAGTATAAGAAAAGCCATGATATATTGGGGGCCCCCTCAAATCCCCGGCTCGAGCGCCGGCCACTGAACGTGGAGTGGCATACGAGCGGTATAGCGAACGACGAGGATGGGCGTGCTTCTGAAGACGGCAGCAGTCGGCGTCGGCGTCGTCGGCTTGGCGCTGATCGCGTACGACCGAGCGGTACCGCCTTCTCTCTCGCTCAGCAGACGCTCATGCCCTGCCTAGGGTAGCGGGCAGTTGGCGCAGGCCGCGGCCGCCGGCGATCTAACGCGAGTCAAGGCCCTCTTGGCGGCCGGCGCGGACCCGAATGGCACCCAATACGTACGCTGCCTTGCGTGCGCACCTCGCCTCAAGTGCGTGTGCTCTAGGGCTTCTCGGCCCTCTTCCACGCTGTCAACAACGGCAACGTCAAGATGGTCAAGATGCTCGTAGGCCTCGGCGCCGACGTCAACAAAGCGTCCTGGGTACGGCCGTGCCATCGACATGTGCCAGCTGCAACGACAGATCGTACTAGGATATCGCGCCGCTCTACCTCGCAGCCAAGAAGCGCTACAAAGAGACCATGCGGGCGCTGCTCGAGGCCGGCGCCGATCCGAACGCGACCCACAAGGTGCGCATCGACCGTAGCTTTGCAAGCTCACGTTGCGAGTGTAGGGCCAAATGACAGCACTGCTGATGGCCGCGTGCCACGGCGACTTGGAGCTTGTCGACGCGCTCTTGGCGGCCAAGGCGGATGTCAATCAATGCAGCGAGGTACATACTGCGGTGTGGCCGGCTGTGAGAGCTCATGGGCTCGGTAGCGAGGTGTTTCGCCTCTATACGCTGCGTCCGTCTTTGGCTACGTGGAGATTGCGCGCCTTCTTGTCGCCGCTGGCGCCAACGTCAATGTGGCCGAGCACCAGTTTGGCCTCTCGCCGCTGCTGATTGCGGCGCACGCCGGGCACAAGACGCTGGTCAAGCTGCTCCTGGCTGCCGGCGCCGACATCAACTACTGCAGCAAGGTACTTTTTTAAATGGAGCAAACATGGGAAGAAGCACGAACGTAGCGCCCGGATGCGTACAAGCGTGGTGCGTGGAGCCTCCACGGCGACGACGTTGCGGGCTTTAGCCCGCTCTGCCTCGCGGTCGCCAACAACCACGTCGATGTTGTCCTCGCCCTCATCATTGCCAAGGCGGATGTCAACAAGGTGCGTCCTCTGCAACAGAATCGAACGCTAAACGACGAGGTAGGGGTCGCCTGCACCACTCTTGCGCGCGATCCAGCTCGGCAGCTTGAACATGACCAAGATCCTCCTGCGTGCCAACGCCAAGACGGACACGGCCTTTGTACGTCCTCAGCATTCCAGTCGAATGATGGCTCATGGTGATTGTAGCATGGCGAGTCGCTTGTCTCGCTCGCAGCCAAGCTAGGCCACGAAGACATTGTCCGCGCCCTCGTCGAAGCCGCCAAGCAAGCCAAGGTAGGCCATATTCTTTAGAGAACGAATGGTATGGACGACGGCGTGGGACGTAGCCTAGCTTTTTGACGCGCGTCTTGTCCCGGGAGCCGTCGCTGGACCTTTCGGTAGGAGCTGCCATTTGGGCTTTTGGTCTCATGCGTTGGGTTGTGTCTAGTCACCGAGCCATGCTGCATAACTTGTCGCTCCATTCTGCTCGTTTTTGTTAACCGACAACATTGTTTCATTCTGCACCACGGTTGGAGAGGAACGCCAGCGTCCAGGCGGCGGCAGCATGTCGTCCATTGGAAGAACGCTACGAGCAACGATGACGACGGCTGCAACTGGCGGAGCTGCTACGGTTGATGCTGACGTACGTGTTGGAGCGATGACGTCAGCTCTGCCTTTGTGCAGGAGGTACGAGACGGTGGCTGTTGTGCGACGCCAACGCAAATAGAGTTCAGATAGGTGTAGAATACCTCGTTCCCTTCGGCCGACCCACGTACAGCTTGGGACATCTTCTTACGTCAAAGTACGTCGACCCAAGCGACAGTGTCTGCAGTAACGAAGCAGGTAAATACGTGACGTAACAGAGAGACTTTTGGCAACGCGTCATTCAAAGCAAGTGCAGGACCATGCATACGGTGCGTAGCAGTGGACGTGTAGTAGACCGAGTGGCAGGAGCCGACTCTTAACATGGTAGTGCGTCTCCACCACCGCGCATGAGCACAGCGTGCGTACTAGTTTGCGTGCGTACGACCACAGTTCAACAACTAAGATGCACCTCACGTAACGTTTACGCGAGAGATACAGCGACGTGCTTCTCGCCGCCATAGTTCTGGGTGTCGAAGTCTCGTCCTCAGAGCCTTTGTTGACCCCGCGCTCGTTTCCAAGTCCACTGCTGCTTACTATAAGTGGAGCGTCCATGCCCTTGCTACTACAACTTGTCTGCCTAGCGATGCCGACGACGGGGCTCACTACCCCATACTAGTACGTGGTAACGAAGCGTCGAGACGAAGGAAGACGACTGCGACAGCGCGACCTCGATGGCCTGTTGGGAGAACTACTAGTTCAACAACTAAATGTACTCCTGCCAGGTCATTAATTACCTAAACGACAGTATGCGTCGTGAGCGATGACGCAAGGGAGGCACCTACCGGTACTTGCATATCAGACAACGTGTGGTTGATGGCGCATGGATAGGACTCGTCTTGTGGACTGCACTTGCTATGACGTGCAAATTCTTGTAGACCGATTGCACTGCGGTCCGAATTGGTCTATCGCAACGGTCTCTCTTTGTTGATTCCACATGACGAGTTGTGCATTGACACCTTCTATAAGTATAAGGTGTAACCGATCCAAGGTCGCTCTTGCTTCTCGCCCTGCCACGTGGTTTCCGAGACATGTCCTTTCCGGATACCGCGTCAACGGCAAAGTCGCAATCGTTCGGCTTTCGACTCGTTTAACGCACGCGAGTGCTTGCTACATGCACGTATACACGTCAATTACAACACGTTTTTTGAGACTCGTGCACTTCTCCAGAGTGGGATTCGCCCGCGCGTGCGATGCGTTCATGGTTCGAATGGGCTGCTTGGTTTTGCGTCATTCCGTCCGACTACCTTGGTCGCCGCACGCAACGAGGCACCCGGAGCCCTGCGCATGTCTTCTTTTTCTTCTTACTCTTCTGATGCGTCGAGGTGCTTGTGCTTGGTAGACGCGCGCCGCGTTATTGATGCAGGTGTTGATGATGGCACGTGGATCGATGTTCGTGTTGGGACAAAGCCAGCCCGGGACTGCGACAGCGCATCGGCAGATGTATTATTGGTCGATGCATCCATTTGAGGATCGAAAGGCGCTCATTTTCGGACTTGCCGCCAAATTACGAAGAAATGTTCGGCTGGTTCCGTGACTACTGGCGCATCGTGATCCCGCCCAAGTCGCTCGCCGAGATCGACGCCGAGCGCTGGCTGCTCGTGTGCCCTTTACCTGGCGGCGAGAGGTCGTGCCAGTGTCGGTCGTTCTTCCGGTACTACATTCTAATCGCCGCGATCGCCGCGCAGTTTGTCTGCGGCGTGCTCTTTGCACTGAGCACGGTCTCCAAGCCGTTTGATTTGAGCGTCTTTGGCGGCCACGATCAAGATCGCAACACGGCGCTTGGCATCCTCTCCGGTGTTTGCGTCGCGCTCACGGCTGCGTTCGTCGGCCCAGCGTCGGAGCGCAACGGCCCGCGCTGGAGCACGCTCCTCGGCGCGGGCTTTGTTGGGCTCGGCCTCCTCTCGGTGCAGTTGGCGCTTTGGACGTTGACATGGTCGCCGCTCATCCTCGGCTGCGTCTCGCTCGGCCTCGGCTTCGGCTACCTCATGGTGAGCTCGATCTCGACCGTGCAAAAGTGGTACCCGGACGCGCGCGGCTTTGCCATGGGCGCGTCCATGGCTGGCTTTGGCGCCGGCCAAATCGCATGGAACGAGCTGTACGCGTACGCGGACGACCGCTTGGACGCCGCCGCCGCCAAGAATGTCTTTGTGTTGACGCTGCTGGCGCTGTCGCCGCTGCTCGCCTACTGCGTCGTTGCGATGCGGACGCCGCCGTCAACCTTCCGCGTCAACGGCCACGACATGCACGGGATCCCGTCCGACGCGGTCCTCAGCGCCGAACGCATCCAGGGCGACTACCTCGACTTTGGCATGACGCTCGTCAACTACACGGCGGTGACCAAGCCGCGCGCCGACGCCGCCGCGCCGGGCACCGAGCGCGCCTACTACGAGCACGTGCGCGGCCTCACCTTGGTGCAGTGCATTTGTTCGACCGACTTTGTCTGCCTCGTGCTGGCGTTTGCCGCCAACACGACGATGGCGCTGCTGTACGTCGAGATTGCGACGCCGAGCGTGGACGGCCTGCTCACCTCGTGGTACGACGTCTCGCTCGATGACGCCAACGCGTTCATCCTCCACGCCGACGTTGTCGGTCTGGCCGGCCGCTTCTTTTGCCCGATCGTCTCGGACGTCTTGTTGCGCGCGCTGTACCTCAACCCCGCGTACGCGCGCAAGCTTGTGATGCTACTGCTGTTGCTTTTGCCGGCGATCGCGCTGCCGCTCCTGCACAGCCAGCTCGACGATTTTGGCCAGCTGAAAACGCTCATTTTCATCGTCAAGGTCTGCTCGGGCGGCGGGTTTGCGGTCATCGGCTGCTTCCTCACTGATCTCTACGGGGTCTACAACATGGGCACGATGTACGGGTTGGTCCTCATGAGCTGGTCCATCGGCATGGTCGTCGTCCGCCTCGTCTTCTCGGGCCTCAAGAGCGACTTTCTCGACCAAGTCCGGCTCATGTGGGTCCTCTCGATTGCTGGGTTTGTCTTTATGGCACTCGTGCGCACTGACAACATGGACCGGTTCTACCACGGGTACCAGTACTCGGTGTGTGGCAAGATTGTCATCCAGCGACCGTACAAGAAAACGACAAGTGTGCGGCAGAGCGTTGCGTCGATCGCGCGGTCGACGCCGACGCCGGTCGGTGGGATCGCACCGCCCGACGACACGCGCACCCGTCACGACGAGCCCTTCTTTCTCGTGAGCTCCGATTCCGAGACGAGCTACGTCGTCTAAATTATGTATTTACCATAGTACTCTAGTCCTTGAATCCTATGTTTCCAGCTTGAATTGTGCAACGAATCGGGGGTGAAGCCGCCAAGAGCGTCATGCAATTCTGAAAAAAGAGAGCAGCAAGGGCATGCGTGCAAGCCGATGCAAAGATGTGCCAACGAGCAAGAGCTATTACGAGCGAGGCTCTATGAATGATCACAAAGATGATGCAGAGAACGAGCAGCCACTGCGAACCCCGAACACATCGTACGTGCACACCAAGGCGACCCGTATGGTGGCGTCGTCGATATCCGGATATAAACTTATTTAGCCGGATGATTCATGTCCTAAGCACACGTGGCACTCCCAGTGGGCTCCATACAACGTGATCTGCGATCATCGCTGGGGTACCCATGCATGAATGCCGACTGCCGACGACCGAAAAGAGCCATTACGATAGACTACTCATGACGCACGAGGAGTCGCGTCCCAAGCACCTTTGCGTTGGAGGATGCAACCGCGGCATGAGATGTGGTGCCAGCCGCTGCTTCGACTGCCAACGATGACGGTGCCAGCACACTGGTGCCAGCACGCGACTTGCGTGTGCATAGATCAGTGAGCGTCATAGCATCTCTACAACGCATACGACGCGCGACTTGCCCTTGCGTTGACGACAGCCGGTCGGTCCGTGCGTTCGGGAGCGTTGTCGCAGTCCGTCATCACGCTAAAGCTTCGGTTCGATTCCCATATCGCACAATCTCGTTTATCAAACAACAACAACGTCGTCTCTTTGCTCGAGGCACATGCACCCACGGAATGGTAGGTGCATCAAGTGCATCCACCCTCTGCGACCCATCCACGTTTGCGGCCTCGAGTGAGTGATGATTCTCTGGCGCGACAACTAAGACCAACCAAATCGGTATGCCACTCGACCTGTCTATCGCAGTCGGACGGTGTGCGCATCCCAGCAAAATACGACATAGCTACGACCCGAGAAGACGGACCAGCGGAATTGATTGACAGAATCGCGCGTCCAATCGATGTCTCTAAGACTCGTGCGAAACGAGGGGTCAGCTCTTGACATCCAACACAACGACGCGGTCCTCACACCACTGCAGCGTGAGCACCTTGGCCATCGCTGCCGACATGCGATCGAAGTACGTCTGATGGTGCAGAGGTCGAGTGGCGACGCGGAAATGTCGTTGCCGCAAACGAGGTGTCGCCCAACGATTCCGACTGCTTGATCGGCAGCATCGCCTACGCCTCATGCGACCGTTGCATGCACGCGACCCAGACGATCGAAAAATGCAAGCAGCGATGCCGGGCAGCTCACATCGACCATGTCGACAGCGCCGAAGGGTCGGTGCCTCGGACCCTAGAGCTCTCGGACTCCAAGGGTCGCATTGAGGATCGCAAGGCCGCTGCAGTCATGATCCTACGTGTGCATGCGGGGCTTGAGCCCGGAGCGCGGGGAGGCACGCTATGGTCGAGAGGCATAAGCTCAGCGCGAGCTCGTTCGTGAAGAGCGCGACGACGACGCAGACTATTCGGCTCACGGATAGTCGGTCAAGAAAATCAACGTAAGACGCTGAGCGCTCATGCCCATCGACCCGAGGACGTAGAGGATACCGAGCGCTTCGAAGAGATCGACGGGAGCGCGTTGTTGGCAGGAGCGTCGCTGCCGGTGCAAACGCTTCGATGGATGGTACACGGACGCCGGGCATGGCAGCTTCCAGGGTTGGAAAACTTGTTTCCTGACCTTTTTACTACAGAGAGCGCTGTGGGTTTCGACACGATGACGTGGCGACACGACAGCCTAGAGGATAGAAAATGACTGAACGCACGCAACTTTGGGGTCGATCCTGCTGCGTGTGTCGGTGCAAATACCACGTCGCCTCCACGGAAGCGACACAGGATCCCGAGACAAGATTCTATCTTGCACAGCTTTTGTACTGTATGTGCAAGCATCAGCGTTAGTACTCTACTGAAGAGTCGAGGTCCAGGACATCACAGTCTACCAAGGGTACTGCAGCGACGGGAAGATCGTTGGCACCTGCCCAACATCGCTGTGGTCACTCTGGCGGTCGCTGCATGACAAAAGAAACAAGGGGTGCACCAGCTGCCCTCGTCCTCGCGGCCTCTGCCACGCCCTGCTGCATCGTTGGTTCGGCG